TATAAGCATTTTATGACAACAGCGAACCCAGAAAACGACGACAAACTGCTTACAAAGTTGTGAAAAGCGATTGCAAAGTTGGTAGATTTATTTGGAAATGTTATCTGTGATATTATATCAGCAAGTCCCATAATTGAAAGTTTGAAAATGTGAATACATATTTTGTAAATTGCCGTTAAATTAGTGTAGCGTTACTCGGAGAGGTCATAGGTCAATTCTAGAAGGTACTTGAGCAAATGATATCAATTTTAAAACATTCCAAATCATGAAATAGCCGCCAGTTCGGCTGAATTTCAAATAACTAATGCAGTTATGTAGTTGGGTGATCGATCAATGTCTAGAGTAAAGCACAATCGGGCATGGTTAGTACTTGCCTGGGAGATTCCCCGATCAAACAAGCTGTTGGATTTTTTCTATTTATTTCATCACATACCTAGACAAGTTTTGGAGAAACATTCCTGCATTCTTTCTTACTGTGGTGTCAATCATTTATAGTAGAGAATCGTGGATTTTTTGTAATTTTATAAATTAATGGACAATTTTCTATTTTATTGTAATTATCATAAACAAGTGTTTGATGCTATCGGCGCGTATTGGATTTTAAGCTGTTAACGGACCGTGAAAAGTTGTATAAAGTGATTGCAAAGTTGGTAGATGTATTTGTATATATGACCTAAGTCTTTGGCATTTAGAACCCCGCTGTTTTAAAGTCCACAGATTTAATAATAGCCAGTTAAAAGCAGCCTATATTAGCTGAAGTTCATATGAGGTGACTGTAAAATGTTAAAAAGCAGCGTGCAAAGTTGGAAAATGTGATTGAATTCTTGTCGGAGTTGCTTGTACATTTAACCTGAGTCATAGTCATGACAACCCCGTAGTTAAATTTCGAAAATATTAAGTAAATATCTCGAAAATGCTTCAAATATGAGCAGTTTATGACAACAGCGAACGGAAAAATCGACGACAAACTCTTTACAAAGTTGTAAAAACTGAAGACTCATTTGGAAGTGTTACCTGTGATATTATATTAGCAAGTCCCTTCGTTAAAAGTTCGAAAATGTGAATAAATATTTTGTTAATAGCCGTTAAATTAGCGTAGTGTTACTTGGTGCATGTAGATGTCATAGGTCAATTCTAGAAGGTGCTTGTGGAAACGGCAATAATTTTAAAGCACTCCAAATCATGGAATAGCCGCCAATTCGGGTGAATTTCAAATAACAAATGAAGCTATATGGTTAGGTGATTGACCAGTGTCTAGAATAAAGCACAATCGAGGGTGGATAATACTTCCATGGGAGACACCACGCGCAAATAAGCCGTTGCACTTTTTCTTTTTGTTTCATTACAGACATGGAAAAGTTTATAGGCAACGTTGCTGTATTGTTTCTTACTGTGATGTGATTAGACTTCCTGTAGTTGAAATAATATTATAGTCACCAAAAAAAAATAATATGATTTCATAATTTGTCAAACACTAGAGAAAGGTCAAATATTTTAGGTAATATAAATTTTGTTCAGCTTGTGTATATACCTGTCACACGCAACGTAATATTACCGTAATTGGTATAGTACAGGTGTGATGGTTCAAATACCAAAATGGCAACAGTAACATAAAGACTTCCCTGGCGGCGATGATAACATACGAACACGAAGTCAACAGATGAGGTTTCAACTGGTACTCGTATTATTATACTCTGCAAACATCAAGTACAATAACTCGGTAAAACTCCAAACCTCCAATAACTAGATACTTAAACTCCAACACAATTCAAGATCTCCGATCTGATCTCAGTGCTGAACAACTCCCCTATATATACCCACACTGTCTATAAATAGACCATTACATCAGCATACATAATGAGTCTGGAACATACTACAAATTTCTAGAATTTTCCATTACCTTCTATTGCCTTCTACAGTGTCCTATTACCTTTTCAATCAACATCTAAAAATTCCACCCAGACACAGTACGGTTCTAGAACATTCTCAGTCACACGGAAGTGGTAAACAAGTCGTATGCGACAATACCTTATATTCAAATGACCGTAATATCTTGTTTAGAGAGTATTTGTTTTAAATTTTCATCGTTTTATTACGTCATTGCCTTCACTGCTGAAATATGTTGTTGCATCAATGAAATTGTGGAAGCGATGATGGAGGAGAAAAGAACACAAGGAACAACAGACCATTTTCCGTACACTGCGAGAATCACGCGTTATGCGTGAAATCGAACGTAAAAACAGGACAAACAAAGGTCATAGCGTCGTAGTGGCGTCAAACATCGCGTGGGATTCGACAAACGCGAAAGTATTTTGGGGACATTTCCATGCTTAATAATGTGCTGTCCACATTTGATGATAGGCAATTTCGATTAAGTGAGGGTATTCGGAAGCAATATTCCTCTGTCGAAGATCGGCCGGTCAATGTAAGCTGCGAAATAAAGAAATTCTAGTTCAAAATCAAATCGTTCGATTTTTGCGGCAGACGTTCGACGCGCGTCTTTCATGCATCTCGCGAGATCTCGCAATTGTTCGGAAAATCACCTATTTGGAGGCCATTTACGTTGTGGAAACATTATGTAATGAGGACAACAATCTTGTGTAGAATTAAATAATTTGAATATAGTAAATAACAAAGCAAGTAAATTACCGAATGGGTGATTTTTTTTCTCTCATCCCAAAAAAAAAATCAATCAATTTCATGTAAAACATTTAAAAAAAAGGTGTTAAATTCGACAGAGAAATAAATCAAGCAACCGAACATGTCACACTTTAAGCGTTCACATAAACAATGATTGAATGGAATTATTATCCAAAACGATGGTACGAAGGAGACCCTATGATAGGAGTTAAAGGGGCACCTTCCAGTTAAGATTAATCTCACAACAGATTTACTTTCTGGATTAAAATAACAATGGATAACAAAAGATAGATTAACATTGTAAACAACATAAACAATAGTGTCCCATGATTCTTTGGTGCAATCCATGGGATTGAGCGGTTCCCCTTTAAGTAACAAATAAATGTTATAGCGGTTCTCTTTCGTGTGGATATTCATCAAACAATGTAAACGTTTAAACATACTTATACAATTAATTCGCTTCACGTCTTATACTATCTGACTGATTTCGTTGAAATTGCAACTCATAGTCCAGCATGTAAGAAAACGTGATAGATGGGGACGTACGTGTTAACGAAATGTCAGTCCAGATGTCAAAACACAAACAGTACATTTCAAATTTCCTGTTAAATTGAGTCAAAGAAAAATACAATGTAGGTGTTTTGGGGTTTTATGGATTGTGCAGATTTCACTTACTTTAAAAGTGTTTCAGTCCAATAAATATGGCTCGAAAATGTTAAAAGAATTTGCCTCAACCATTCTGTGCTGTTATAGCTTTCTAAACGTTTGAAAGACAATATTTTACAATTACAATTTACAATTTAACAATCCACAAAACCCAAAATACAGTCACAAGTGTTTTGTGTATAACAAATGTTAAAATACAATATTTTTCACAAGAAAATTACAATGTGGCGTATTTGTAAATTATTACCAGTAGCACGTGTCATTAGGGCTGTTTGTTTTAAAATATATAAATCAATATTATCAACACAGGGTCACGATAGGATGTTAACTCCAATCTCGGGTCATATGTTGTCACAGTGTATGTGAATTATATAGCTCTTTTTGTACAGACGAATACTGGGCAAACGATCTGTAACAATAGCACCTGATCTATGTATCTATTACAGTGAACTGCATATTGCATTGAAATACAAATCACCTATTAAGCATATTTTGAATAATGATCGTGCATCCACACAGTCCGTCGGCCTGAACATCGTTTGTTCAAATACAGGCTACTTTTCAAAAAAGAGTGTCTCACTTTTAAGTAGTGAGTTGTGTCTTTCACATAGATCATGGTAGCCAAGATCGTTCTGAAAAACAGTTCTCTCCACTAGTAAATGGACATTGTTGAGAACAAAGAGACAAGTAAACAGGTACTGAAGCTAGGTAAGATTACGTGAATGCGAAAATAACTGTCAGCTATCCACAGAGACAAGTCAAAATATAACATTACTTCAAATTATATATTTTTAAACTGAGCATTGCGAACAAATAAATCCAAGCATGACTAAAGCTTATCGAAATATGAACAAGAAACGAAATTGATTGATGCTATATATTTTAATGTTAATGCAAGTAAAATAATAATAATGAGTTGTAGATACAGCTGTTCTATATACTGGATAACTATATTGTAGATACACGGTAATTGTGTGAAACAAGCAGAGATTACTCACTAAATGCGTACACGAAACTATGATAACAATATTACATTGTAATACAGTAACGGCATATCGGTATAGTATAATAGTATTGCAATAGAAATAACAGTTTCTCAATATAACAACGATATTGGGATATAATAAAGATTATGAAATGTAATATCCATATTGACGTTTCGCGAGTTTTCTATTCGATACATCATATCTAGAAGGGTTATGGACACGCCGTTTCAAAACCTGAAATGAGACAGTTTTACATTTTTAATATTAAACACTTTAAACATTATTGGTAAAACTTAGAGGCCCAGACAAAAACAAAAATAATGGGTGCCTGATGTGTGTGTTATTGTAATTTATTTTAAGGGCTGCACGCATACTTTTTTATAATATACAATAGATATGGTCTGAAACTGGTTAATATGTAAATGAGCACAGGACGATATTCGTTTTAAAGGTAAAAGACAAATGAGAATTCCGAAGGAAATTATTGGAACAGAGATAGGAAATAACGGTTGGACCAGACAGGTGTGAAATAGTAGTATAATAGAAAATAAATACTAATCTGAAGGTCAGGATTGCCATATGTACCTGTCTCAATGCTGGCGTGGTATCACATACATATACGTATCGCATTTACTGAGCTTAAATTCTAAGGGGTTTAATTGATATAGAAATAAAAAATACAAATACACATATACAAATAACACTTACTGTATTCGCATACAAATCCAGCACGCCGATCACAATAACTATCGTCCCACTTAAATGCATTCTTTTTCCTACGAAAATAAATAAAGAAAATACGATTTAACATTCGTTGGCTACATTTCATAGTCATCCATGATTATAATAAATTTACATGTATTGTGTATTTTATCAGTTAAATTGTCAACGTGGCTGTCCGAGTATATTTGTGTTAAATGTTACTTATTCTTTTGTTAATCCATTCTAGGTTAGAAATACAGTTGACCACTTGAATAGCATAGCGTAGTATATTCACTGTATTACGTATTCTATTCAACTATTCTGTAGTGTCTGTGTTGTATTTTCTTCAAAAATGAAGTCTATACCAGACAAGTGACGTAAATACCGTCTGAAACCATCTTCGTACCAGTGTTATCATAATTAACCACAACCTCTCAAATATTTTCTAAAATACAATTAGTGATTTGCTAGAAAAATCAAGGTTAATTAGTTTTAGGAGAGAAGGACAACATATGCTCCAGATGGACAAATACTAGAAACCAGTAAAGAGCTATGCTGTGTAACTCTAGGCAATTGATGATGATGATAACGTGACTACAACCATCTAAGTTTTGTAGTAGAAAAAACAACAGCCAAACGCGACGCTTACCATAACTGCACGCAGTCTTGACCTAGTGGGTTTTTGTTGACGTTATTGTTCGGCTCATTTTCTGCCCATCTCGTGAAGTCACCAAGGGCAGTTCCATCAGTCCAGTAAAATGTCCCTTCCGTGTCAATATCATTTAAACCAAACCAGAAGTTATTATTATCAATTCCATATTCGGATATGTATCTTCTAATTGCTTTATCGACTGAATGTGTGTCGATCTTGGCAAGCATCCCACCTCTAACTTCGCAAGTGTTTTTTGCTGTAGTCCAATTCCTTTTCTGTGTAATAACCTCAAAATACCGTTCACCCACACATATCTTGTCCGTAACTGTAAATAAACAATGTAAACAAAGTACACTGTAGCCTCGTTATAACGAACTGTTTGAGAGACATACAATTAGTTTGTTATAGTGAAATGTTCACTATATTGAAGCACATATTACATTGGGTTTGTTGTAAGCGGGAGACATGTTATGTGTTCATTATATCAGGAAATTCATTATAAAAGTGTTCATTATATTGAGGTTACAGTGTAATACTTGCAGTTTATCGATATTTACAAATATAATCCAGTCAACCATTACACATCTGTATTATGAAATATATCATTAAATAAAATATATCACATTACAGTATCCCTGGACCACCGCGATAAAGAGATTCTGTTTTCGACAATGTTGATTTTTGTTTTGGGGAAAGTGTGAATACAGTGTATAGTATATACTCACCGTTGCAACAACAATATTTCTCATTTGGCAGTTCTTCATGAAACTAAACGAAAACAATTGAAAACACATAAATACATAAAACCTGGAATTCACGTGTTTGATTACGAAATCTGCATTAACCCGGTTGTATGTCAAAACTAAATACAAAATTCAGTGTTTCATGAATACCGACAATGTGTTTGATTAAATACATTATGTTTGACATGTTTGATAAAACACATTACCCTGTACAGCGTTTCCAAATAGTAGCAACCACACTTAGATTCCTCAACACAGACTCCACCTTCATCCAAGACTAATCCGTCCGCACAAAAGCACCCTTCGGTACATTTTTCAACACATGATTGTAACGGGTGGGGCTCCAAGCATGTCGGTGGGCAAAGTGGACCACAGTGATTATAGGCCGTTCCAGCGACGGGACAGTCGATTTCTACTCAGTATGTAAAAAAAAACGAAGCACATGGGGCTTAGATACATATCAAATTGAAGTGTTTGATAATTTTCATTTTGGACGATTATAATCCAAAATATGCATTAATTAATAATTATTTGACTAGGTTTTACATACCACACTGGGTGCCACTTCGCCAGTCACCGATTTCAACACCAGCAACATTACACTGGTTTACATAGTCAGCAACTACACTACAGCCCTCAGTGGTACTAGGCAGAGAGTACTGAACGTCCATAATACAGGAGTCTTGGTAAAAACCCGGATCAACTGTGCCGGCACAGTCGCGAATATTCCCTGTTGATAAGTGTATGAAAGAAAGAATACATATCTCAAAAAAGCATTCTGACCAATAGCATGGCAGCAGCTCATCTCAGAAAAGCATTCTGACCAATAGCATGGCAGCAGCTCATCTCAAAAAAAGCATTTTAACCAATAGCGTGGCAGCAGCTCATCTCAAAAAAAGCATTTTAACCAATAGCGTGGCAGCAGCTCATCTCAAAACAGCATTCTGACCAATAACATGGCAGCAGTTTAACATTTGTAAGCATTTATAGGACTTCACACTGCCAGATTATAGTTATAAACACACAATATTATTCACAGCGGGCACACTTCTGATTACAGCGACCGGGCGCTTTATCTTGGTCGTGGAGTCGAGTCGCGTCTTGTGTTCGTAGTAAGCCCGTGATTTCCATACAAGTAATGTATATTAAACATAATACACCAGACAGAGATGTTAACGACATACCTGCATTGAATAAATCGTTGCAAATTGTTTTAGCTGAGCTACGGGTAACTAGTCTCTCAACTGATCTCCGAGCTGGGTTACAATCTGCATTTGCTATTATCCAGCTATCGCCAAATGTCGCAGCGTTATTAGTCTGTTGAGTATGAAATTCTAATTTAACAAATATCAGATTGACTATAACCAGTATAATTGTATTGGGAGGAGAAATAATAGTGTCGTTCACTGCTGATATTAGTAGGTGTACATGTATGTGTAATTACAAGAACTTATATCAAATCATTTTCACCACTTAAATGTGATCAAACTAAATGTATTTATATTCTGAATAGAGACTGTTCATTCATAAAATGTGCAACATTGTCTCTAAAAAACATTTTCACCACAAAAATCAAAATGGAGTTTTTTTTATACAAAAGGATATTCTGAATAGACATTGAATAAGAACTGTTCTTTCATTGAATTTTTTTATAATACTGTGGAATAATTTATTTTTGCTGGAATTAATTTTCGCTGAAAAGGCTTTTTGGACGTTTTGTATGGAATTTTGTATGTTTAATGTGAAATACATGAACAAAAGTATATACGCTGGATTTTATTTTCACAGAATCATCCCTTCATCGTAAATAGCAAAAATAAATTCCAAGCAAAAATAAAATATTCTACAGTACAAGACTTTCCTATACTTCTGAAGGTCTAGATAATCTGAAATGTCCAGATATGCGCATATGTAGTTTGTTTTGTTCTTAGCTCGTTGAAAAGCATTTGTATGATGATAAAAAAATGGTTCACTGGACCTTCAAAAGTGTCATTGGTCATGTAGTTTGACTGTCATATTGGTTTCCCGGATGCAAAATTCCCTGTTTCTAATGTACTTGGTTTGGGAAATATGTAATTTTTTTTGTCATAGTATAATTGACATATTGCCTAAAGACTTACCATCATATATCATTTTAACCAAAATGCAAAATAAAGAATTGTAAAAACTATCATAGATCGATTTATCAGTGTGACAAGCATGAGTTGCAGCACAAAATCACCTAACGACATTGGTGGGGGAAATTGTTTTGTCCATCTGATCAAAATATATTATTTAACTTAGTGAGTGATACAGCGGTCATGCAAAACTGGCAGTAGCAGCTTTTTTTTAAAAACAAGCCGCTCCATTCAAAAAACAAGCAACTGTTTCCGGCTGTTGCCTTGCTAGGACATGAACGTGAAGCTAACGTGGGTTCATAACTAAAGCCGGGTTTCGTATACGAATCGAAGTTTGCAAAAAGCATTCAGTCTTTATAAGTCACGTTACTTTATTACTAGTCCGTACCCTGTTGTTAGAATTATTATTTCCGACCGTTCTTTGATTTAATGCTGCAGTTACAGTACATTCAAAGTTGGTAAAGTAACAATGGCGGCGCCGGTTATCCCTCATCGGTGCGGAACTTAGCCAAAAGAAAAAGCATGATAATCTTCTGGAGGTAGATGCACGTCAAGGGATTGAGTAGCTAAGTAAAGCTACCTGTCACATGGCGGTTATCAATAAGTTGCTTATTATTAGTATTCCACACAAGTGACTTTTACGAAGAGGTTGCTAGAACTTAGGTGAGGTTACAAATGGACTGATTTAAATTCAGGTTTTCGTTCAAAGGATGAACAGTATGTTTATATTAGACCAGAATACACAAAGTAGTACATTGCAAAGTTAGCTCACTGTTGAAGGAAACTTGTATTAGTGCCACTTGAATATATCGGAACTACAATATTGACATAAAATTGAACGAGCGCCAGAGTATTCACTCACTTCTAACCTTCTAAAGACAGTGTGCCGAGATGTGGCCCTTGTACTTTTGGAACATATACACAGTGATGAAAGAATATGTACAGTACATACCATGCAAATCAATGGCAACTTCATGCAGTGTGTTGAATATGTAACTAGAGACGATTATTGTATTGGTCCAGCACGGAGACTTTCGCCATATAACGAACCACTATGACTAATCAGTAATACAGTAACAATAACCCAGTAGATAACCAGAATCAGTGGTCAGAATGGACAGACTGTAGTGGAGGCAACCAGGTGTGATAGATGGCTAGTTAAACCAACGATCTCAGTGCACAATCCCACCAAAAGACAATGCAACGCATGTTACGTGAAATTGGTGAGTGATAATATCAGAAAGTGCATAGAGTAATGCTCTCCAAACAAAAAATATGAATGAATAACTTGAGGTAAGTTTGTATGAGTGATGTACCGAAGAGGGCATTTAAAGAGGAGCATGGTTATGATTAGAGTCATGGGTGTGGGGGACGTGTGTGACTGAAATTATAACCATGGTTTCAGGAATTGAGATCATCATCTTGTATGTTGAACAGATTGACATAAATGAAATACTGATACAAAAGAATGGAACTCAGGGAAGTATAGATGGATATATCATCTGAAGTGATTGGATTTGAGTATTTGAAAGACCTATGCCGTACGCGAGCGCCGGTTCGAGTCACGCACGCAGTAAGTGTTTACTATAATTAGACGTAGTATTTACCTTGCCGTTTATTCGGTGTTATTTGCTTACTATACCATATAAGCAAGGTTCAATTGACTAACACAAAAATGTGAAAATGTGCAAAGTTTTTACAAGATGACGGAGAAAAAACAAAACAAGTGAAAGTAACATTGGTCGTATAGTGAAACATGGCATTCACATAGGGGATCACGTTCTTAATTAGTCAGTCACAATGGCAGTTACAAATCTGATAGCATCTTGCACCAGATATGTGGGTGGGGCACATATTTAGGTATAAATACTTAAAGCATCTATTCCACGCATTTTATGAATTAATATTGTTTACAAATCTTAGGAAATGCGCTTTATTTTGTATTCTGTATCAGCCATCATGTTATGCTTTATATGTTGTTATAAATGGTATCTTACAATTTTGCAACGTGTTAATATGTATTCCTCATCTTATTTGGTATACCATTCCCGAATGACCCAGTAACTGTCTTTACTACTATATCGTTAAGTGGAAAGCTGAGATATTTCTTATTATTCATTACTGTTTAAGAATGCCTCCTAATTATCGATTTATCAGACATTAGAAATGTTCTACCCCTCTCTGCTCGAAAGTGCTGGGGTAAACTGGTAATCAACTGTGTACATGGAAATACCACTAATACGATATTTATACATTTTACACAAAAATACTCTTAGTTTGACTTATCATTAAATTTGATGACTAATTTCAAAATTCAATTCTATATGGGTTTTGTGTTATTTTTTAAACCTATTGTGACCAGTGTTTATGGAACACATTAGTTTGATTATTTTAATGTTTCTTTTACCTCTGGTGTGACAAGGGCTCACAGAATCTTGTTATAGAGTTTGAATTATTGTACTTAACAAAAACAAACGTTTTACCAAGATCACCTGTGATGGCGCATTTCATAACATGTGAGTTCCTCTGCGATGACCTTTAACCCCACCTGCCAACTTTTGTGTGTTTATAGGTGAGTGATTTTTGTCATCCTTATAAAGTTCTATCAAGATAGTAATCCTTTACATCCCACTTGTTGAACTACTTGTATGAGTCGATAATGTGTTATTCGTTGTTGACATTTTTTGAAGTTTATGATCATTCTTTTGTATCTTTTGATATCTATAAAAAGTGTTGATGATCGTCCCATTGCTATGTACATGCTGCCGTGTTGCCAAATACTATTTCTTGTTTTGATATGAATGATATGTATTTTAAAAACCCCACCTGCCATCTTTTGTGTGTTTCTAGGGGTTCGAAGGAGAAATAAAGATCAACAATGTAGAATCGGTTCATCAATCCACAATTGCATTCTCTGGTGTGTTATTATATTTCCATGTATGATCACCCAAAATTATATACAACGCAAATCTCCGACTGACCGTCGAGTAGCCCTTTCACACTATAATCATGCAAATTGTATAAAGACTATTCGCATCTTGGTAATATTACAATTATATCATTATTGTAAAGTTCTAACAAGTAACAATCGGACAGCCGGTGTACATGTACAATACATTCGACAACTGCAATGGAGTCAGTCACATGTGTGGAATTAACACATTCAAAATATCTATGGTTCTTAAATAAGAAAAACAAAATCTCACCAGAGTGCCATCAGGCCTTGTAAAATCATTCCCCCAATTACCATCAAAGTTTCCACAAAGTCCGCATAATCGTCCACGATGTAGATTGGATGCTTCTATTCGAAGGTTGTATATTCCGTCAAAATATACAACAATTCCATACCCAGTTGTTACAACCTATTACAAAATATTTTATATATCAACTGAATTCGTATAGAAAACATGCATGAGAAGAATCCTGGACAAGCTAGGTGGTTTTAACATACCAGATATATCCCGGCTAGCGTCACCCTAGTTCTTGGGGTAACGTCAACAGGCACCGCGGTGAGTGTACCATCAATCATCAGTTTATTGCCCTGCATCAGCAATATATCCTGTAAAAAGTGACACACTATGTAATTAACACATATGAATATAATCTGAACACGCATTTGCTTGTACTCTGGTTTTAAAAGGCCGCAAATGCATCTAATTTCTAATTTACCATTACACCATAAAAAAGAATAATTACAATTTCACCTAAAATAAGAGAACATTTTTTTATTTCAGACAAAAGAAAATAATGAAAAATCAACGTACTATGCCTTCCACTATCACATGGACTTCTTTGGTCGTGGTTACTGGGCTTCCAGGATAAGGCCAATCACGATTTTTCACGATTATTTCAAGCTGCATGTATGGTTGTGGGCATCTGCTGGACATCATAACATATTCACACTTTCCCTGGTAGTCGAAACGTCTGTTATCAAAATTCGTGTAATGTGGATCACCGCATCCAGAGCAGCTACCGTAACCTGTGATGCAGATTAATTGATCAGTTAATCAATAAAATAACCGCTTATAATAAAATTTTTTCAGAGACTATTTTTTGTCTCTTTAGATAGAGTTCTAGTTTGTTCTGTCATCGCATCCACATTTATATATTCGTGGTATCTGAAGCAGTGGGTTCGATGACAAATGTAAATATATCTCTATTTCATGGGCAAAAGTGTTGTCTTCTCGGTCTCGTTCTCCGCGAGATCTTGGCGGCCATCTGTGCATATTTAGTATTTATGATTGTATTTTATATATTTTTAGTATTTTTATTAGAGTGCATATCGAGACAACAACTTCATTGAAAGTAAGGTACTTTAAAAACTTTCACACACACAATCTATCATTTTGAAACAGCAATATAAACGATGTATATTATAATGAAACAAATTGTGAGATTTGGGAAACAATATTACAGTTAAATTAAAATACCTGAGCAGTCGACCATATGATCGTCACAACAGTCTCCATATTTTACACAGTCGTCATCACACCAGCAATCTCGCTCAATAATCTTTTTTCCACAGTTATCTTTGCAGAATTCTGCAATTTGTTTGAAAGAAGAATTCATTCTGAAGGTTACAGCATTACTCAAATGTTAAAAATAATGGTGGTACTGTTTTTTGTTCATTGTCACATGTCATGTAACAAATTATAATATTGAATAAACAAAACGGGTTACCATCCGTATAGAATGTATGTACTAAATTATGTTTGTTCAGAGCATTTTACTATTGTTTCCTTAAAGTTGAAATATTGTGGACACATTTTATGTATCAAAGCAGTGTCTAGAAGTCTACGTTTTATATAATTTACACTAATTTAGCTTGGATTTTCTATTGGTCTTTGAAAATTACAACCCAATTGCTATTCCTGTATCTTATTTGAGTGTCAGCGAACTAATACATTTTGCACAGTTAACTAATACTAAATAAGAACAACGTTCTATAGGCGCGAATATATGACATATTTATAACTTTCTACCTGAATTAATGGTTTAGTGGAATTCATTCTGTTTGTATTTTTTCGTCGGGATTACACATGATCACTGTTCAAATTTGTCGATTTACTTGACTAATTAAATTGTTCAACTATTCGACAATATGGCAATATGCCTCACTTTTTTCACAACAGATCGCAACCGGAGTCGTTGTTGTCCCTCCAACCTTGTGACAATATTCTGTTGCGCGGCAAACAGTCGGAGGCAGTGGAGTTCGAAAAGGAGGACCCATACACAAACCAGCAGATTCAGTACCATCTGGACACATCCATGCTATATTCGTATGAATAAAAAATAAAATAAAAAACGATGAGTTGTGATTTTGTAATAAAAGGTTCTCGTATATTTTCGATAAAAAATGCTCAAAAGTGAACAGTTTTCCCTTCCAAATAGTGATGTAACATTTTCAAACCTGATATGCATATTCCTACAATTTTTTATAACTGTGCTGAAATATACACAATTTTATTTCACATATTGCGCAAAGGAGAGTACTGGCGAAGTACTATAGATTCAAATTGATATGTTATTTGTCTGTTTCATATTTATTGTGTTATATATATAATAATTAATCATTTGTTACGTGTGATTTCATAGACATCGCAACCAGTCGAAGTTCCTTCTCCAAATCGACATGATTCGTCTGCACCCCCTTCTTCATAATCTGCTGAAGTTGATACGGCGTAGCAGTCCCCATTGTCTTTCAACACAAAATAGTCATATCCTCCAGAATATGCAGCCCTTGCACATCCCTAAAAAACGTAATCGAAATACATTTTACCCTCTATGACGTAAATAAATAAGAGAAATGCATCTTTTTCATCTTTGGACGTTCATTAAAAATGTTGTTTTCATTTAAATAAAGATGATGAACGACAGCACATCCAGAATCATGTTGACTCACAAACTACATTTTTAAACAAAAAAACAATTCTGCTATATTTCTAAACGATGTTTTTTATATAGTTGGTATCATATTTTGTGTGTGTGTGATCGTTTTTCTGTCTTTTGAAACAAGAAACAATTTCTCGCAGATCATTCAAAACATCTATTCCGAAATTGTTAATATTTGCATATTTATTCTTCTTATTATTATTATTTCTAATTGGCTTTGGCTGTAATTTCAGAACCCTTTGACATCGATCAATGGTGCTTGCAGCTGTCTTAGTTATCATGAATAAAAGTCAGTTCCGCTAGAGATTTCACAGTGAATCAGACTAGACTAGCTGTAAGCTACTTTCTGATTTCCTTTTCACTCAGTTTCATTAAATACTTGTAATTATTCTTGTAATATTATCTCTACATTAAATTATTACTTGGTGAATGAACATCAATTGACATCAACATTAAATGTTCCGTTGGTTGTAAGTAACTCATTCAGGCTGTAACAGTTCACCGTGTAATCTGTATGACCTCCGACGTGAAAAATGTATTGTGTGATTGGATGGACATAAAGTGGTGAAAACGCACTTACTCTAGCTGGGTCGTTTGCATCAATATACCCATTACGAGTATTTTCCAATTTAACCATTTTCTCTGTGCAAGCCCAACATCCCTTATGACCATAGTCTACACAGTATCAAGCAAAAAGTATGACGTATTATACAAATACAGCCTTGTGGACACAGTGACGGGTACTAAAAATCAATTGGTTTAGAAACAAATCCACACAAAGTGAAACATGGAATCAAGTCGTACAGTCTATTCGTCAAATAAAATATGTCAAGGCCAAATACAAGTATTTTTTAGAAGAATTTTGCAAAATTATTTTTTTGGAATCTGTTCTGTCTAATATTTCTTGATAACTGTACAAAATTAAAAGAAACGTTTACAATACGTCGAAGAGTCAGTAGGAGGATTGCTACGGATCAAACCTACTTAGAATGCAACTTTAAGTTTCAAGCTTAACGGACTTTTGGCGGATAGCATGTCCTAAGCAGCAATTTATAAGTGCTTATGGGTATGTAGGTACAGATGCTAATGGGTCATGGTTACCGCGTATGTAGACGTCATCTGTTTCCTCATTCTGGACCAGAATGTACAGCACGGAATCAAGATAACACTATGCAACGCCATACATATGCCACATGCTAAGATAAATCGTTATTTCTCGTGCTCACCTATTTCCAATGGGCAATCGACGTCCATACAAGTTTGTTCTTCGGTATCACTTCCAACGCATGGTTCAACGAGACAGACCCTTTTTCTAGTCTGCGTTCCGCCACCACAAGTTACTGAACAATCGCTCCAACTAGCATCCCAATCAGACCACGTTCCCCCTACATAATAATATATGAGAATACGAAGTTATTTGTTGCCACTTTACTGATATAAGTACGGCATAAGGAGTTCCACAAAAACAAGAGCAACTGTTGATTGATGGAAAATGGAAATTGACCCTTCTTTTTAATTAAATGAGAAAAATTGAAACAGCTTAATTTTATTCAACCAGGTAGTGTCTTTTCCTCTTTGTGCATTGTGTTTGGTTAAGATGGAACTCCGAAAACAACAAGGTCTCCACTACCAAAACACTTTTTTGTTGTCTTGACTTTTGAGTAGCTATCAGTTTTTTGAAAGTACGCGTACATGTCATTCAGAACGCTCATGCGTACCCCTCGACCAGCCAAGTACCCCTCCAGGGTTCTCTCCTTTACTGAATGCGGTATATAAGAATGACACCCATTTATCACAATACTCAACAAGCTAAACCCATTTCCCAATTATATATATATATCGAGCTAAGGAATCTTCCGGGTTATCAAGGTGCTAACAAACTGCACAGTATACAGTGATCAATAAGATAGCAACATTCATTGTGAAAACTAAAACTAATGTAAACTTGCCCATCACTACTGTCCAAGACATAATGTGAGATAAATTTGTTTTACAGGTCACGTGACATACTTTTGTCAAACGCCATAAAACGCAATGGGTTGAAACATAACCTGTTTTGTGTGTGTGATTTCTATTTGGAAAACAGAGCGCAAAATAACAAACATAATTGATAGCAGCATAGACAGAAAATGCGACATTCCAAGCTGAAACATCACATTTGAAACATGCGGTAGCAGCTTTTGCATTCACACCCTAACACGACGTCAACCACCAAAGTCAAATTGATGAATGTAAACGTTCTTTTTTTGTCTCAGTAATTATATATGGGTAATGTCACAGAAATGAAATATCTAAATCAATCGATAAGACAGTACTCACCATCTTCAGCAAAACAAAGCTGTAAAGAAATGAATCTTTGAATTAGAGTCAATAATAACAGACCGATCGGCACCCTGACACATCTATACAAAAAATGGGCTATGTGGCTATACGCGTTACTGGTGTTAAAGGTAACGAGTTGAACATGGTATTATACTGCTAGGTCTGGCGCAAACTTTAAGGGTGTAAGAGTGTTTCCTTCATTAAATATTGCATTGTGGGTACTTTCATAGACAATTCTCTGTTCACACCGTGACCCTGCTTTATGTGTAAAATGTAATACACAAAAACATGACAAACAATTTAAGGTCATAGCGTTGCCATTGGGCGCGATTTGACAAACGTGAAAGTATTTTGGGAATATTTTCACGCTTAATAATGTGATATATATATATATATATATATATATATATATATATATATATATATATATATATATATATTTGATTGAAGTCAATTTTGATGAAGAAAGAATATCTCAACTCTATATACCGCCTGATAGATTGGCATATCGATAATGGATAATTTGTGTACAATTTGTAAACTCATTCGAACTTTTTGTCCCACGGTCAGCGCCCTCAAACCATACGCGAGACTTCCCAATGAACGGGAAACCATGTTTGCAGCACTCGCGTAATGTAATAAGCGATCGCAATATACTCACAAATTGACGTTGTTTTGTTTTGTTATGCGCATGGCCACGCATATAAGACTGGACAAGATGGCATTTAGCAGGGAGTGGAAGATTTACATGAAATCGGCCTCGTACAAGGTCAGACAACAACGAAGTATATCATAGATTGATTACGTGCATGTGCATTCGTGTACAGAAAAATAATTTTAATCCGGTTCTGCATTTACTGTCATAAATATAAACAGTTGACTCAACTAGAATCATTTAAATATACTTTAAGTCACGTGAACCACAAAATCTATCCCAGTACGTATATCACTTTCGACATGAGCCGACTTTTGTTAGACACGTTTCAGCTATAGAGGGCGCTATTACACATATCAAGTGGCAGCTTGAGTCAATAAACAAACACTGAGGGCGATATTTTGGAATCCTGAGGGTGGTCTATTGACAATGATATATCTTATTATTATCTTATTGTAATCTAACAATAACTTTAATTAATTTGTTTGCAAGTAATATTATGATCAGTGTTTTATTAACCTGTGTCCTGCCAGCTCCATGTGCTTTTACAATGTCATTGGCTTACTTGAAATACTAATTTTGCTTACAAATATCTTTTAGCAAAAATAAAATCTTTGCCGATCACCTGACACCAATTTCTACCTTTTGGTAGAACTTTAATTTGAGTATCGATGACGTCAATATCACTTATGTGATGAGGTCAGATAACTTTTGAGTAAAAAATACAAGTACAAAACTTTTCCACAAAACATTTCTAGTTTTTGGTTTTGGTCCAGCTTCGTGTCCTATATTGAATTTTTAAAATGTTCATCTAATTATATATTTCCTCTTGTCTTGGGGTGTGGCACCTCTTCCCAGAGTTACGCTACCGCCATTGAACCACTTTCAAACAAAATCAGAAAAAAAATATTCAATGGCTAACTAACTGAATGCACTTCCATTCACTCCACACTAAAATGTAATTCATGGTGCATTATAAGTCCGCCATTCTAGTGTTATTTTCTTGCACCTTGCTTCCTTATAAACATTACCTTTCATATAAAATAAAAAATGATAAATAAATAAAAAAAATATTTATTAAAAAAAATTACCTTTCAAAAGTCAAAGATTACATAGATATGAAGTTATTCATGTACGATTAGAACTGGCGACAAGGACACCGAGCGTCTATGTGATATTCCCGGCGTTTCTTCCATTCAACCATAGATCAACGTCAATGAAAAGTTGCTTAATGAGTTAGCTTATTCCACGCCTCTAACGTGCAAACCGACAAGGTCAATGAACAAACACAGCTTTATTCTGTATTTTTTTTCACTGCATACAGTGATATACAAATATATTTCTATTGTATTTGTTGTAGTGATTGATTAGGTTTGAGACAGCGCTGGTCTGGAAAATTGTTTTAAAATAAATATGCGATAGTAGTGAAAAATAAAATTGCAAAAAAAGAAAGAATATTTAATATGGCACAGAGCTACTTTATTATCAAAATGTATGTTCGATAAAATAATTATTATTTTTTTTCTTTAAAAATATTGGGATCTATACATGTATCAATCATACCAAGAAACTTGTTCATTTTACGTTATCAAACATTTCAAGAGAAATAGTTTCACACTAGAAACCAGGTGGAAAATGTCAATGTTGTTTTTTACATGACATTCCAGGCTTATAATAATGTATAATCGTGCTTTCAATAATTTGTGGTATAAGTGGAATTAAATAAAGAATTGGAAAATCTTATCTGATTTTAGTAATCATCAGTCCGGTTAGAGAAGACAGAACTAATTCTAGTAGGCGATCAGAATGGGGGGATGGGTGCTTCCACAGGGCTTATCGCCGTCTTTGGGTCCCGTTAGGGTACTTGGGGTGTATGTAGGTCACGATAAATACGAAAAAGAAAAACTTAATTTTTGGACAAAAATAAAAAAAAATGAAAGATAAACTTCAGATACGAAAATCGAATTGGAATTGGAATTTGGGGTATTCCAAAACTTATAAGATATGTATATTTTCACGTATTCTATATAATTAATACTTTTCAAGGCTGATTTGAGCAACTGACTAATTAACATCATCATGCATATGTATTTTACAATTGATAATTGATACTATCAATATCAGAAATATACTTCATAATTCGAAGGTAACTTCAGAAATGATTCCTTATTTTAATAAACAGTTTGTTCCTATTCTATCTAACAAATACACGCAAACAATATCATTCAATTACAAACGAACATCTCATAACTTTAAATGTGGACAATTTTGGTCAGAGTCAGATTCTGTGTGGCTGGTTTACCTTGTTATTTAATTATAGCACCAGGTTTTCGGGTTTTTACTGGGGATGTGAACATGTTTTAACATGATTCTCTTCGAAAGATAACAATTAGGGTCACAAATTAAAAATCATTATGAACTCAGTTGAGAAAATTGTAAGTAAATGTACTGAACGAAGGGAATTAGACCTGATACCTTAAGCTTGTTGGTGAATGCTATAAGAATTTAGCTACATTGTTAAATCAATAGACTTCGAAACATCTGTCAGCATACACACATAATTGGGCCTATTATTTTCCCCTTTACAATGCATATAAACTGGTTATTCCATTCACTGGGGCATATTCAGAAAAAACAGTATCTGAATAGGAAAAATCAAATGTAACTAATATTAATTTGATATCGTGCACAGTTTTGACATTTTCATTTATTGAATTGTCAGAGTTGATATCCGGAAAGTTCTATATTCTTTCGTTATTGCCATGATGACGATTCACAAAACATATCTCCTTAACTAAAATATTCATACTATTTTAGCAACAATCGAGGTATCGATGATATATCCCCTTAACTAAAATAGTCATTCAGATCCCAATCAGGCTTATTCCGCCTTTTATGACATTTTTCATGGTATATCATTTAAGCATGTACAGGTAAAAAAATAAAACAAATTACACAAAAGTCCCGCAAACCTTGGATATCTAAAGCCTTATTTAAATCAATTCATACAAAATATAACTTATTTAGTAAAATGAAGAAACACCCACAAAACACTGAACTCAAAAATAAATATAACTGTATAGAAATACATTGACAAAACTCCTTAAGTCAGCAAAAAAAGGTGTTTTATTCAAAGAAAGTATCATCTGCGAATGGTAACACGAGTAAAACGTGGCAAGTGGTCAATAAAATTCTAAATAAAACTATTACAAAAATGGCCCCCAAAAACTGCATTTCACTACGCTAAACAAATAACAATACCTGACAATAACTGACAGTTTAGACATTGCAAATAGTTTTAACTCGTACTTCACCAACATTGGGCCCAATCTCGCTGCCAATATCAATTGCCCGCCACACAATTTTAGAAAATATTTAAGCGGAAATTTCAAACAAGATGTTTTAAATACAATTAAATCACTAAATCCCCGTAAATTGCCTGGGCATGACCAAATTACTCCAAACAAGTTATCCATGCTGCTGACGTCATCTCTGGTCCCTTAGCCTACGTTATCAATTGTTCACTGAGCCAAGGAAAATTTCCCGACCCGCTCAAGATCGCAAAAATTACCCCAATCTTCAAAAAAGGTTCGGTAACAAATGTCAGTAATTATCGTCCAATTTCCATTTTACCAATTTTTAGCAAAACTATTGAATCGCTTGTAAATAAACAATTTATTGACTACTTAGAAAAAACACATATAAAGATAAACACCCAATTTGGTTTTCTTAAAAAACACAGTCCCAAGCTTGCTCTTGCAGACTTACTTTCAGACATAGCTACAAACCTTGACAATAGATCCATCACCTTTGGCATTTTTTGTTGATCTCAAAAAGGCATTCGACACAATTAACCATGACATCCTCATTTCCAAATTAGAGCATTATGGCATTAGGGGGGCTCCCACTTTTAAGGTTTAGAGACTATCTTTACAATCGCCACCAATCAGTTACTTTAAATAACATTTCATCATTATACAATCTAATTAAATGTAACATCCCTCAAGAGTCTATTCTGGGTCATATTCTATGACATTGCAAATTCAACTAACGCCTTCAGTTTTCGGCTCTTCGCAGATAAAGCAAATCAATTTAAATTCCTCAAAGACAGCCACATCAATCTTTCCGATATCAGCAATGACTTTCAAAGAGTCTGCGAATGGTGCAGTGCTAACAAACTCACAATAAATGTACAGAAAACAAATTATATAATTATTAAAACAGCACAACGAGCTGTTAACACCGAGATAAGTCTGCTTATCCAGAAATCTCCAATTGAAGGGGTTCTATCAACTAACTATTTGGGAATTGCAATTGATCATCATATCAATTGGAAATCCCACATTGACAAAGTCAGAACAATAATTGCCCCCAAAGTTGGAATCATTTCTCAAATTCGACACTATATTCCTAAATATATACTTCTTTTGCTATATTACTCGTTGATATTGCCACACATAATTTACTATATAGAGATTCGGGGAAATACTTATTCAATGCTATTAAATCCAATTACGCTTCTACAAAAAAACATTGTCCACCTAATCTCATTTTCTGACTTTCGTTCCCATACCGCTCCTCTCTTCAAATCTCTTGATATTTTAAATATTCATAAGCTCTCTATGTTACTCACCTGTTTGTTCGTTTTTGACTTAAAGAAGAAGCAATATGCCCATAGTATTGATAAATATTTAGACACACTACCCCATAATTACCCTACAAGATATGTTGCAGGCGACAACTATTATACTCCCAAGGTCAATCTCACATTAAATCAACATACTCTCAAATACGCTTCCACTCACTTTCCGATCACATAAAATGTATACAAAATAGACAGTCTTTCAAATGCCACTTTAAAGGGTATCTTCTAGAAGATATGTAAATTTTACTTTCTTATCAGTATTATGTGCATTTGTATGTTACGTTGTTTTATTTTATCAGAGCGTGTGAGTGTTTC